ATAGGACAATATTTGGCCGAGATACAACTATTTGAAAATCTGGAATCTGAGGGTGCACAAAAAAATCTAAATATTGAGAAAATCATCTTTAAAGTTGACCACATGAAGTTAGCAATGCATATTACTAATCAAAAATTACATTTTGATATATTTACAGTAGGAAATTCACAAAATATCTTCATGGAACATGATCTTTACTTAATATCCTAATGATTTTTGGCATAAAAGAAAAATCGATAATTTTGACCCATACAATGTATTTTTGGATATTGCTACAAATATCCCCCAGCGACTTTAGACTGCTTTTGTGTTCCAGGGTCATGTGTATATATATATATATATATATATATATATATATGTATATATATATGACAATGTATTTTTGGATATTGCTACAAATATACCCCAGCGACTTTAGACTGCTTTTGTGTTCCAGGGTCATGTGTATATATATATATATATATATATATATATATATATATATATATATGTATATATGTATGTATATATGTATGTATGTATAAGTATATATATATATGTATAAGTATTTTCATATTTAAAAATTTTAAAAAATGCTGACGAGCTTGTTGCAATGCATTCTGGTATTGCTTTATCCATAACAGATACATGTGATGCTGCCTTAGAGTTTGTTAGGGAAATTGTGATGCCTAAGAGTGCTGTCTATGTAGGAACTTCAGTAAAAAGCGTTCTTCTACATGTCCCATAAACCCTCCACAGAGCCGCTGACAGCTCCCACACCTCCATCATCTTTAACGGCCACTTCCTGTAACATTACCAGCCTCAAACAGACAGATGGTGTTCCTCACACTTCTGCAGAACACCCAGAATGCCATGCTTTAAAACAACAACAACAACAATAAACTGCACGACTAATAAGAGACGCTGAAGTTTTGAACTTCACTGCACTAACTGTTGTTTTTCTAGTCGTTTCCCGCTCAGGGTGGAGTGCTGCGTTAGCAGGATGTCTCGCTGCTGAACACGAGAATTCCTCGGGTTTGTAGGTTTTCACAGGTGTCACTCCTCATGCAGGAATGTGTTGCACCTTCATATTCCATATGCACGACTTTCCATCCTCGAAAATTGCATTGCTGACCGTCTGCAACACACATAATCTGCAACTTGATAAATAAACTTGAGCTGCATGCATGTTTCTAAAGTTAGACCTTATTAGATACTTTCTTCTAACTCTAAGGCAGCATAGCATGCATCTTTTGGGAAATCCCATAATGCATTGTCATCTCAGTGGAAAGAATGCAATGCAGGTGGCATAATTTTATTTTTTTGGTCCAAATTTGAAATCAGAAATCAGCTGTTGAAGTACGTATTTCTTTGACAACCAGCTGTTTTTTCACAAACGTATCTTCACTGATGCTTTTTAAGAATTGCTTACTTTTGCTTGCTTAGAATAAAACTGACCATTATCTAAGTCACTTAAATACTTTACAAAGCTCAGTCGTGTGCCAGACTTTTCACACACTTTTCATCTGCAACAACCGATCATATTTACATTAATACTTTTTGATAATAATAAAATCTCTAAATAAAACAAAAGCAAGTAATATTAAGTAAGTTTCTTAATAGAACAAGACAGACCCATATTTAAATCTGTAATTAGAACAAAACCAACCCATATTTAAATATCTTAATAGAATAGAACCAACCGATATTTAAGTCTCTAATTAAAACAGAAATTACCAATATTTAAATATCTTAATAAAACAAATCCAACCGATACTTAAATCTCTTATTAAAACCAAAATGACCAATATTTAATTATCTTAATAAAACAAAACCAACCAATATTTAAATCCCTATTTAGAACAAAACTGACTAATATTTAAATTTCTTAATAGAACAAAACAGACCATCCATTTGATCTCTAATTAAAACGAAGCCAACCAATATCTAAATCTTTAATTAGAACAAAACTGACCATATTTAAATCTCTAATTAGAACAAAGCCCACCTATATTTAAATATCTTAATAGAACAAAACGAACCAATATTTAAATCTCTAATTAAAACAGAAATTACCAATATTTAAATATCTTAATAAAACAAATCCAACCGATACTTAATTCTCTTATTGAAACCAATATTACCAATATTTAAATCTCTTAACAGAACAAAACAGACCATCTGTTGGATCTCTAATTAAAACAAAACCAACCGATATTTAAATCTTTAATTAGAACAAAACTGACCAATGTTTAAATCTTTTAATAGAACAAAAACTACAGATATTTAAATTTCTAATTAGAACAAAACCAACCGATATTTAAACTTCTTTATAGAACCAAGCAGACCATCTGTTAGATCACTAATTAAAACAAAACCAACTGATATTTAAATCTTTAATTAGAACAAAACTGATGATATTTAAATCTTTAATTAGAACAAAACTGATGATATTTAAATCTTTAATTAGAACAAAACTGATGATATTTAAATCTTTAATTAGAACAAAACTGATGATATTTAAATCTTTAATTAGAACAAAACTGATGATATTTAAATCTTTAATTAGAACAAAACTGATGATATTTAAATCTTTAATTAGAACAAAACTGATGATATTTAAATCTTTAATTAGAACAAAACTGACCAATGTTTAAATCTTTTAATAGAACAAAAACTACAGATATTTAAATCTCTAATTAGAACAAAACCAATCAATATTTAAATCTTTAATTAGAACAAAACTGACCAATATTTAAATCTTTTAATGGAACAAAAACTACAGATATTTAAATTTCTAATTAGAACAAAACCAACCGATATTTAAACTTCTTTATAGAACCAAGCAGACCATCTGTTAGATCACTAATTAAAACAAAACCAACTGATATTTAAATCTTTAATTAGAACAAAACTGATGATATTTAAATCTTTAATTAGAACAAAACCAACCGATATTTAAATCTTTAATTAGAACAAAACTGACCAATGTTTTAAGTGTTTTAATAGAACAAAAACAACAGATATTGAAGTCTCTAATTGAAACAAAACCAATCGATATTTACATTTCTTAATTGTCTTTGATTGCTCAGACATGCTCCCGAGTCACTTTGGCATTGATATATGTGCTAGACAACACTATACGCACACTATAATTACATCTAAATCCAGAGGATCACTTGCATCATCGTTATACAGTATATTGTCATCATATCACCCAGCCCTAAAACTCACTCTATGCTGAAGCACAAAGTCATTATAGACATATCAGTATGAAATATGGCTTGTGAGGGTGTTTTTTACCTGAAAGGGTTGGAGTCAGTCTTCCTGTTTGAAAGTGCCTTTTACTTCGTTATGAGGTGCATTATGGGTCTGAGGGAGCATTTTGAAGGGTCTTAAATAAGGCTCATAATTGGGCTCTGGTGAGCCATGTGTTTCTCACAGTTGCGTTGGAAGTCAGAAACTGATGTCATATGTTTCCAGGATTGTCTGGGAATTTGAAATCGGCGTGCCTTTGGGTTCTTGAATGTGTTGCAGGTCTTTGCACTTTATGAAGTGTTTTTTAGTACCTTAGGGTCTTTTTCTTGTTGTTAGGTTTTACTCTGATGTTATTGTGTATTATATGTGGATTGCTCAGCACTTTGGATTACATTTGTACCTGTAAAGTGCTTAATAAAAAAAGATGAATGAATGAGTTTGGCACTGGTCAATGCAAACTTTGGGAAAACGCCCAAATATGGTGATTCACACCGGCCTGATCTGACATCTGTTTGGGTGAAACTGGACATTTTGTTGGTCGTTTAACATTGCAAATGGACTCAGACTCTCACAAAGAGTGTCCACACCCAGACTTCGCTTCTTTTGCGTTGATTGTCTTCTAAAGCGTCTGTAGTTTGTGTCATAGAGACGTCATTTTATGTTATGAGCTGAATGTCCATGTGATGCTGTTGCATAATGGAGACTCTCATGCAGAATATCTGCTCATTATGTTTGCGCCTCGGCCCTCGGGTGAAGGATGTTGAACTCCTCCCTGATCTGCGGCGCTCTGATTCACAGCCAAACTTGGCCGTGGAGCAGTTTCCTAATATGAGCATTGGGCTGTGTGTGTGTGTGTGTGTGTGTGTGTGTGTGTGTGTGTGTGTAATTATCACTAAGCAGTAAGCAGTTCGTTGTCTCTCATTTCCAGTCCATTTCATGGCCCATGTTTT